AGTATTGAAATATTAAGAATCTTAATTCTCTGAGTGGCCGCAATGAGTGTTTTTTTTTCGAGGACATACTAGGTAAGCTTTGTTGATGATTATTATAAATTATAAATCCAGTAGAGCTGAGATAGGGCCAACTTCAATCTTCCCGTGAATGTCGTAGGAGGCGACTAAAGGACAAATGTAGGGGTTCGATTCCCGCCTTAGGCAGTTCGTTTATTTTTATAATTTACAATTTAGTTTGAGATGCAACTCTTAACGCTAAAAATTAAATAACTTTTGCGAACATCAGGCGTCCCTAACCCGTCCGGCCAGCATGAGATGTGTAAGCCGAAATCATTGAAATGTATCATGGTTTGAGGTGAAATGCTTACCTACTGTAAGTACAGTAAGGTTACTTAAACTACTTTAATTGTGATAACCCAAACAATACACTTCCCACGATGGCTATCGGACGAGGCATTTTAACTATTCCAGCAATGACTCAATGTTTATGTCGTTAGTTAGCAATAAGGAAGAAATTCGGAATTTTTTCATTTACCTTTATGTTCATTATTGTGGAAACGAGGTAAAGGTGAACAGAAAGATTTGTATACCTATTATAAATGGGTTTTTCTAATTAAATACTGATATAGTATTTAATTAGAAAAACCCATATAGTGGATAAATATCACCTCTATATTCTCAAAGATGCGGTAATGATCAAATTAGTAAAAGTGCTCTACTTTTGAGTCACAGCAAGAGACGAGTATTGTATTTTGCCTGTGGCCTAATTGCCAAAATATTGGTTTAAAAATATGCAAATACCTATTACCTACAACTATTACTTCATCATCATCATTATTTCAGCCACATGCAGGACGTCCACTGCTGAACATAGGCCTCCCCCAGTGATTTCTACATCGCCCGGTTAGTAGCGGCCTGCATCCAGCGCTTTCCTGCTACCTTTATGAGGTCATCTATCCACCTTGTGGGTGGACGTTCTAATTACTACTTAAATTTAAATAAAAGGAATGCCCGCCACCGGCACCACTTAAGTTTTATGTAATCGTAAGATATACTTTTTAGGATGACAAGCACATTTCAGCAAGTTCGTAAATGCCCTGAAGGTCCAGGAACGGGATCGGGACTTAATTTGCAGGATTAGACGGGATTATCCCTGTCTCTGTTTGGAAAAAGCCCGTTCATTGAACCGTCCATTTGTCTCAATAGAACTACGATGGGAACGAATTTAATGATTTGCAAGTAAATTAGCTCAGGTACTTACGAATTAGTCGCCTAAAACGGCACTTTGTTAATTGTTGCTTACCTGGAAAGAAATTAAAAGATTAGTTAAACACTTTAAAGGCAAGATATTCAGAAATACCTAACATGGTCTTGTTTGCAGAAAGATAAAAAGTGATATTATAAGTAGACTATGGCAAACCAAATTTTAATGATTTCTCTGAGGCAGTTCAAGAATCAATCAGGCGATTTTTATGGAAATAATATCATTAGACACAGCTAGATGCAGAGGCAGACTAATAAATCCTCAGGCTTGCAATAATACAGACGACAGCATAAAAAAGCTCTAAACACTCAGATATTTATGTAGCTGTAATTCTAATTCGTTTATTTTGCAAGTAAGCCTATAAAAAGCTTTTTTATATGTCCCAGTATTAATTTAACCCTAACACTGCTTCGGGAAAACCAATGGGCCAGTCAAGTCAAATCAAATCAAAAATATTTTATTCAATTTAGACCACTAGTGGCATTTGTGAACGTCAAAATACAGCAAAAAAATAGTTGGTAATATGCAACAAAAATGTACCTATAGTCAGATGTCCTCTCGACTGTACTTATTTAACTTCGTACCCCAACAAATTCGGAGTTCACCGAGTGACAGCAACACTCGGAAATTAAGACTAATTGATATACGACTAAGCACTGCGACCTTTGGCTGGACAGTCAGTATATTAATGGAGCGGGCAGTGATTTTGCTGACCATCAGTTAACCTTTGCACAAAGTAAAGTGTGATTGGTCAATACTGAATACTGAACGGGTGATGTCAGTGAGTGGTTTTTAGTTGTTAGTTTATAGGGTATTCTGCAGATTCTAAGAAAGCTCCTAAATCAATTATGTAGCCTCTTGTTACTCACCTGTAAAGTTTCATCAAAATCCTTAGTAGATTTTTCGTGAAAGCATAACTAAAGATAAGTATCCATCCATCCTCGTATTTCATATTTGAAATATTGGTAAGATTAGCTGGCCTGTCAATCGTTGTCCAGTATGTAAGTAGGTATAGAAACATTCACAGAAAAATCGGAAATTGGACAAAACCTCGGGCAGATTGTATGTTAATACTTAAAAGAGCTCTTTTAGGTAGTTAGGTACCAAAATGCAAAGCAAAAACAGTAAACGTATCAAATCGCTCCACTTTATCAAATCCGACGCGCTACCGTTCGATCCTAATCGCCATTTATGGAACAAGAAAACTACAAAATACTGAAAAAACAACAAACAGTCTTCATGGTAATGTCAAGGCAATATTAACGCCAGAACTACCATGGATAACGTACCGAGAAATTGTAATTATTCGGGGAATGAGCGAGCTGAAACTATGGAAATATGCGTAGTTAGTTTTACTGTTTAAACAGCGTTTGCTGTGAAAAAACTTTACTGTGAAATCGTAAGCAGGATCGTTATTATAGTTATAACAGAATTAGGTGGTTTATAGCTACTACGAATCAATTGATTTACTTTTCATAAACGGCCAAAAAACGATCTTACAGCTTACATGTACAAACCCCAAGAGGTCACATCGAAAAAGTAAAAGCTATGACAATAAAGGACATTGTCAGAAANATTTTATGAATACATTTCCATAAGATTCAAGAGATGGATTATAACTTGGCTGTGACGTCACTCAACCCTCTTTCTACTCGGACTTCGAAACCCACACTACAACTACTATTTCTGATCTAGTAACTTTATCCTACTAACTAGCTTTGGTCGCCCGCTACGCGGGCTACAAAAGCTAGATCTGCGATGCTGGCCGCTCCGGGCTTCGCCCTACGCGGCGCTCGGCCTGCGGCCTCGCATTCGGAGCTCGGCCTTCGGCCTCGCAAAAATTACAGGGGGTGTTTATTGTCTGTCTCCGTGCTCTTGTGCTTTTTTGACGCAACACAAGTAAATCTATGGGTACTGTGGGGATTTGAACCATCGCTCGGCCTTCGGCCTCGCCTTTTTCTACGTTAGCTAAGCCCCCCTGCATACAATTTGTATGGAGAATTCAGTCCCTTTAGGAAAACGGGTGAACGCTTGGCGGCCATCTTGGATTTCCAAAATTTTGCATTTTTGCCTTAATCTGGACCATTTTCCGCGCCGAACCCCATTTCTACTTTTTTTCTAACTTCTCCCAATCCCGTAAAACAATTCCTTAAAACCACCCATGTCCCAAAATTTTGAGTTTCCGTAACTCCCAGTGTTGCCAGGTCATCGAGCTAAAAATGATCAAATGTCATTAGTTTGACCTATTTGCAGGAGGCGTCATCCAAATTTCTGACCGAAAGTCGTTATTTCCATTTTTTACATTTTTGGACCAAAACTCTCAAAGTATGGCAACACTGGAAATTTTAGTTCTCCCAAACGATACTCCTTGACAAACGACGTAATCGCCCCATACAACTCGACTTTCCCAAATGTTGCCAACGGCCCGAAAAATGCATTTGAAAAATCAGAAATCTGAAACTTTTTACAAAATGGCCGCTCACTCGGTCGCCATCTTGATTTTCTGACATTTCGGATTTTTCCCATAATCTAGGTCGTATATCCGACCAAACCACATTTTTGGATTTTCCCTGCCATATCTCCTTCTGTCCGTCCTTAACTTTAAAGACACCCATGTCGCAAAAAATACTTTTCCCCGTAGCTCCCAGTGTTGCCAGGTGATCGAGACGAAAATGGTCAAATGTCATTTGAACGACCCCTTTGCAGGAGGCGTCGTCCAAATTTTTGACCGGAAGTCGTTATTTCTACTTTCGACATTTTTGGACCAAATCTCCCAAAGTGTGGCAACACTGGGGAAATTTCTTCACCCAAGCGAAACCTCTCGACAAGAGACACAACCGCCTCATACAACTCGACTTTCCAAAATGTTGCCAACTACTCGAAAAATGAATTCCAAAAATTCGAAATTTTCAACTTTTTACAAAATGGCCGCCTGCTCAGCCGCCATCTTGATTTTTTGACATTTCGGATTTTTCCCATAATCTGGGTCGTATATCCGACCAAACGTCATTTTTATTTTTTTTCTGCCATAATTCTTTCTGTCTGTCACTAACTTTAAAGTNTGATCAGTCAGTGAGTCAGTCAGTCAGTGGTAATCGAGCTTTATATAATATAGATATAATTATAATGCGAAAGTTTGGATGTCTGGATGTTTGTTACTCTCTCATGCAAAAACTACTGAACGGATTTTGATGAAACTTTACAGTATTATTGTTTATAACCCAGAATAACCTATATGGCTATAATTCATGATGATCTGTGACAAACTAAATTTCACGCGGGTGAAACTGCGGGCAGAAGCTAGTTTTACAATAAATGCTTATTACGCCGCAGTCACCAGTACCACTATTGCGGTAGTAATAAATAAATAAAACAAAATAATAAATATAATACAGGGTGTTGATTTCAATACTCGCCATATTTAGGGAGTTCATTATTAGCTTATTCTGATAACGAATCAGTAAAAAATTGACTTCGAAAATAAAATTAAAACGAACTTTAACTTTAGTTTGTCAAAGAAAAATACCTATTTACACTACCTACTTTACATGGCTTCCTTCAGTAGGCTATCCGACATGATAAGCGAGCGATCCGCGTAGCTCGATGGTGCCGCAGTATAAACTGTTGCAGTATTGCGAGCCACAGAACAATTGATTTCGCACGGAAAATATTCGCTATAAAATCCACTTTCGTTTGTAATTTTGTTTTGGTGCTAAATGCGTATAAGTCATAATAGATAACCTAAATAAATATGGTGAGGATTGAAATCACCATCCTTTATGTAATAATATGATATATTGTTTCAGTGATTACTTGGCTGTAACCGTAAATAATGATGATTTGGTAAGCTTTTTGACATATGTGCGTTTTGCTTGGTGGAAATATTGGGTTATTTAACGTATTCCTTAAAAATTATATGCCAACAGGACGAACTTATCAAACTTAGAAGAGAAAATCGGAAGGCGTTACAAATGATTAAAGGTTGCATGAAAAAAATACAGCAACAAGATAAAGAAATAAAGAAATTGAAATTGGTTGGTATTACAATATCTCCATAATAAATATTATACCATTATTCTAAACATTAATTTAAAAAATAAATATTATTTACCGAAAGAATGCGGTTGAAGAAAGTTGCTAGTAAAAGTAATATTATAAAGTTTTCGTATTTTTGTACACATTAATACTAACATTATTATTATGTTATAGAACAAAGAACTGGCATACGCACACGTAAGTGACTCCCAAATGGAAAAATATGAAGAAATATTGAAATGCAAAGATGAACACATTAAGGATTTGGAAAATAAAGTGAGAGAGCTTCAAAAAAATGTCGATAATATCAATAACGAAGACAATACAGGGTAACGTATCACAAAATTATCTAAATTTAAAAAAGTACCCTACTAGTTATTGCCTGTGCCAGAGTAGTTATCTTATTTCCCATTGCATTGCATGTGTTTATTTTTTATGTTAAAATAAGTTTACGTTCACTTCGAAGTCGATTACACGATTACTTACTATTTTTACAAACAGAAGTTCAGTTACATGGGATATTTAATAATAAAATAATTGTTTCATTTTAGAAACCTTCAACAATTGTTGACTCGTCGTTTACAAGGCTTGGCTTATTTTCTGGACAAACTTTTATCACACAAGTAAGTGTCATGATAAATAGATGTAATTAATGAATTAATTTTACATTACTTTGAATAAATATTGTATTTTTTTTTATTCAACAGGTGTGTTTTGGGTGAGGACAAACAAAAATTGGCCGAAAGTATCTTAGAACAGAGCTTAGCACTTCCGGTAGGATTAAAATTAGACGAGTCTATGGCACCAGAAGACTTCACGATGGATGAAAGTAACCTAGATGTATCAAACGCACTAAGAATTGAAGATCTAACTATGATGTTTGGACATCACGGTATCTGTGCGGAAGAAATGAGTAAATTCTCATTGAAGAGATCAAAGCCTTTCCCACAAGCAGATGTTATGTCTGAGTCAGAGTGCTGGTCAGAGCCTGATAGAAACGTGTCTTTAGCTCGAGTTGGTCTATGCGACACTGGAGTGGTTGCTAGAGAATCCACTTCGGATGTCAATAAATATCGGTCAAGAAGGTCACGTGTTTCTTTAGGCTCTCGGTCCGAAGACAACAAGAACGTCAATGAACATCTTTCAGTTGAAGAAATGAATCAACTGGTTAAACGAAATGATCTTATTGAAGACGAGAACAACGATCTCAAGAGCAAATTGGAGTTTGCTATGCAACAAATAAATGAACTCATAGTGGAAAGGGATGAATTAAAAAATAATCTAGCTTCTGAACGTGCCAATCATGCGGAATTAAAGAAGAATGCAGATTTCATGTGTGAAAATATAAAACGCTTGGAGATTAAGATTGCGGAGGTTGAAAAACAATTAGCCGAAGCCGTTAGCTTTAATGAAAAGTTGCGAGTTGAAAGACAAGAAATGGAAACGATGCACATGGAAACCGAACGATCTTTGCGACGGGCTGCAGACGAGGCAACAGTGCAAGCTTCCCAGGCCGCTTTAGAGCGAGCACGGGCTCAACATGACCGATTAAGGATTGAAAGAGAACTAGAAGAAGCCCGCGAAAAATTAGCGTCTGCATTAGACATGAACGCTCAACTAGAAATCGAAGTAACTCGTAAAGTGGCTATGGACGCCAATATGAAAGTAGCATACGTTAATGAAGGCCAATCAGAAGAAGAAAGGCCAACGTCTCCAGACCAGGGTATTGATAGTGACAGGCTGTCAAGCCTGGAACAAAATGAAGCTGTTACATTGTCACCTCGTAAGTTTATACAGTACTTTTTACGCTCAAAAAATAAATTTATGTAATATTCTTATGACTGCTCCTATTGTCTAATAATATTTTTAATTATTTTAATATACATTATATAGTATACTTATTGTATTAGCAGCTTAAATACATAATTGTGAGATCCAAGCATACTTAATGCATTATTTTTTCAGGTTCACTATATGAAGAAAATTTAACTCTTAAGCAGAAACTTGCCAGAACTAAAACAACGTTGGCAGAAACTTTGGCACAGTTAAATGCTGCTAATATGAGAAAAAGAAGTGTACAGCGTGCAATCTGCCGAGAAATTCATAAAACTCAAGGAGTCCTACGAAAAGCTCGTGATCAACTTGAAAATCAGACCAACCCACAAGGGTTATTGTAATAAGTTAAAAATTCAAGACTTCAGCCAGTGGAAAGGCGTGATAAGTAAATAATGTTTTTTTTATTAACATAGATATCCCTGACTTTCTGTGTGGTGTTGATGTAGGTATTTTTAATATAATTAATATTCTCTATTGTAACAAATGAACCGTATCAATTTAAACAACTAGGTACCGATGTTTGTGCTGTTTTATAAATTGTCAATAAATGATTATATTTTTATTTATTTTGTTACTTTACCTTCTTTTTTCTCTCTTGATGTTTGTTAGTTCAGATAACTGAACTAAGAAAGTATTGTACTAACATTTGTGTAGGTACAATACCTACCTACTTACTAAAATTTTTTAGTTGCAATAAAAGCTAGAATTTATTTAGTGAGCAAACTACATCTAAAACTCGACTATTGGCTCTGTGCACGATTACAGCGCCAACTAGCGTCCACAACTTTGTGGGCTCTGTCACATTGACATTTAGGTCGTATATTTGTGAAAAAATATCGAAATGAAAAATTAACAAATATTTTCGACTAATAAATTGTTGTGATACCACGATTTGGGTGGAAAAAAGGTTTTGAAATCATTTTGGTCATTCAAATCAAATGAGGTAAGTCCAAAAAGTGTGTTTAATTTTGATTGTGATTCTGGTCTGTGAGCACGTAGATTTTGTCCAATGACCCCAAGCTACCCATCCTTATCGCTCGCGCTTAATTATATTGCTGTCGCGCTCGCACACTCACTGCAGGCGCCTGTCGCACAGTCGCGATGTGGTCGCGACGCGACTAGCAATAGGCTAAAAACCTATAAAGATTTTTCGTCCTTTAGGCTAGGTCTATTTTATTTATTTGTAAACACCTAATTGTACAACAGGATGCAATAAATGAATATGAATATTTATTTTTAACCGACTTCAAAAAAGAATGAGGTTATATGTTCGACTGTATGTTGTATTTTTTTTTCTATGTATGTTCACCGATTACTCCGTCAAATTGTGGAACGATTTTCAAAATTGTTTTTTTGTTCGATAGGGTACACTTCTGAGGTGGTCCCATTGTCACCAAGTCAGGATCTGATGATGGGATCCTAGAAATATATGATAATAATAATGTATAACAATTAGGTACTTAATTATTTCCAATTTCAAATAATATTCGTTTTTATTTAATTTTAAAATAAATGCAATACAAAAATACTTGTTTAATTCATACTAAGCCATAACCTGAATAATGGCTATAGCCTTATAATAAGCCTACTACTCGAAAAAGACTTCAGTCGGAAATAAAGCCTAAAAGGCTATTTAGGCCTATAGGTTTTTTTTAAACCTATAGGCTTTTTATAATGAGTAGCCTTTTAAAAGCCTAGTAGTCTATCATGGCCAAAAAAAGAACTAAATAGGCTTAATTTTAAGCCTAAAAGCCTATAGGCCCCGGGAACACTAGTCGCGACAGCAATATAATTCGCGCGAGCGATAAGGAGAAGCTTGGGGTCATTGGACAAAATTCTACGTGCTCACAGACCGGGCTTTAGAAGAAAATGTTTACTTAGTCGTTTGTTCTATTTTGACTGACGAGTAGCCGAGTAGCACCCCCCACCACGGGTTCCTGCTCACTTGGTCCTCGGCTAAACGTGTTTTAGTCGAGTTTATACAAAAACCACTAATTACTTGTAAACTGTACTTTAATGAACAAAGTGTGAACGGTTTTGATCAGTAGCGAGTAGTTACTACTTACTGAAGGCGAGTTTACTAAATTATTTGATTAATGTGAACAAGACTTAACTCCGTCACCGTGTGTCCGAAACAAAATCTAAAAATTGGTCAAGTGCGTGTCGTGCCACGCGCAGTGTAGGGTTCCGTTGTTGTCCGTCGTTATCACAATATATTTCAGAAGAAGCAATTACTTCATCTAAAGTCACTTAATATTTTCTTCTAAGGAATTTTATTAGGTATGAAATTTTATAATACATGAGTAAAACAACTATTACTCTTGAACTAACTGATCTATCTTAACCGCTATAGTTTTCCTTGAAAGTTCATAAAAAGCACTATTCTCATGAATTTTTCCAGATTTTTCAAGCCAACAGTTTAGTTTTTAGTGGGGGGGACGCCCTACTCGGACAAAAATTGGCACTTTAAACCACAGATTAGAGATTATGTCTTTAAACTCTAACATTTTGCAAACAGATCCCTAAATCCAATAATGGTCTAAGAAACCCCTAAGCCATTTTAAAAGAGCTATCCAACCAACGATACCCCACATGATGGGGTAGAAGATGAAAAAAAATTGGGGATGATTTTTTTTACGTCACATGTAGGGGAGCAACCCAAAAAAAAATTTTTCCAAAATTTTATTCTACCGTTTTGTTGGTGTGATTAGTATACATGTTACGGTTAATGTGATAAATTGAAAATTATTAATNATATGTCAAAATTGTTGGTTCTTAGGCGAACAATGTATGGAGAACGAACATTGTCCTTTTACAGGCAATGATCACAATGTTATGGAATAAAATACGTCAATATACTTATAGTGGTCCTAAACAATATTATTTTATGTCTAATTATGGATTTCTACCTGATACTATTGATTTTATAATTTGACTGCAAAGCAATCCCAAACAGTGTAAGCTGATGTAAAGTTCAATAAAACTGACCTAAGAATACAAAGAAAACCTGGCAAATCCTACCAAATGCCCCTTTGAAAACTTGAAGTAGGTGCCTATTTAACCAACACCGTTCTAAATCTATCACTGTTATTGTTTTCAAGTTCTCATATTAGTGCTTGTAAATTTAGACATGGCACGTTTTGGCTCAGTGGCAACCAGTTCGAACAATGATGTATCATGTTGTGGTTATTACACAATGTTTACGTTACTGGCGTGTTGTGGCATTCCTGCTTTGGTAGCTGGAAGTGCTGTTACATACAGGTTGTCCCAAAAAATAGTGTCAAGCCGAAGCCCAGAGGTAGAGCATCACTAGGGTTACCCCAGTCACCGCGACTTTTGTAGTTTTCGAGTTGTGATTTTTTTTTACAACATGCTCGATTTATAACGTTTCTAGTTTACATTTGTGTTATGGATGTAAATACATACTTCTGAATCAGTTAGGCCCAGTATTCATCTAATAATAATAAAAAAATCAGGCATGTGCCTTATCTATTCGCGCCACAGTGACCAAAAAAGTACCTAAGCACAGAAATTTAAAACAATCATAACTCGAAAACTATCAAAAATCGCGGAATATACGAGTACATAGAGGTGATTCGGGTAGCCCTAGTGATGGTCTACCTCTGGGCTTCGGCTGGACACTACTTTTTGGGACACCCTGTATAAGGTGGTTAAAACAAGTACCATGCACCAAAATCATTTCAGCCACAGGACGTCCACTGCTGAACATAGGCCTCCCCCAATGATTTCCAGATAGGCCGGTTTGTAGCGGCGTACATCCAGCGCCTTCCTGCAACCTTTATGAGGCTTTATGTGCACTTTTTGCAGCCATCGTCCACTTACTTTTTACGTTTACTGTTTAAAGAAGAAAATAGCAAAAAACATGATTGGGGGAAATACTGAATGCGTCTATGGAAGTCCCATCATTTCTCCAGGATATGAAATCGCCATATTTATGTTTGTGGCAAGTAATAAAATATGTTTGGTCGCGGGGCGACGATAAATATTTTCTATGATAGAGCAAAATCTACGGAGTCGGAAAATAAATGTAGGCGATATTTTTTATATTTTGTGATCAAACAACATTTGGATAAGCCTACTTCTGGTCAAATTAGGTCAAACTCAAATAAGTTCTTATCTAGAGTACGGTACCACCAAACCAAGGATTCATCATCTAGAATACAACAAAGATTCGAAGTTATTAATAAACAATCTAGAATACAATGAAGTTTCAAAGTTATTAATAAACAAGTCAAAATAATACTCTAAATGCTAAATTCTGAACAACGACCTATTGCGCAATGGTTAAAATTAAGTCTGAAAAGACTTCCAAGAATTATTAAACCATTGTTTAATTAACAGATTCGCTGAAAGCATAAATTGTCACAGTTACCGGGTGGTCGAGTCCTTTATTGTGACAAGACCATCTTGGTAAATTACTGGAGATGTCATCATAAGATGCGCTGTGTATTTGGTTTCAAGTGAATCTAATAACAGCGTGTTAAGAAGAACTAGCTTTGCATCTGACTCAAGCGTACTTTCTGTCCTGACAATGCTTATTGCTCGTACCTACTGAAAGCAAAGCACCTTCCTTAGTACAGAATGAAAAGAAGCAGATGAAGTTCGCCACCCAAGTAACACTAGTTACTAGAATACACTATTACAAGAGACTTTGGAGCAACTATTAAGGCTCCCTTTTTTGCCATCCTATTTTATAATAAAAAAAAATTAAAATTGGATGGTTTTGATCACAATTTCATTCGAAGGGTCACCTATGATAGATAATATTTCGTAAGCTTTTTAGATGTGAACTAGAACTTCAGCAGTCACAGGCACATCTTGTTTATTAATAAAGACGCATCTCCATTAACTTAAGGTGAAAATAGTAAAGTTACTCAGAGCTGTCATGTTGACAGAGTGTGTTTATTAAGGGCGAGGAGAACGCAGCCGCAGACGGTGACTAAGCGGCTAGAATTCAGACATTAAAGTAATGTACAACTGCCATTGATCTGTCTAGAATCGTTATGACCATGGTGGAAAGGTTGGTATCCCCATTAGGACAAAGCCTCTGCCACACCTACTTGATGTTGGTATTGCTTTGGAAAATTAGGAATATTATTCTATAAAAAGTGTAACGTGACAACGATGTTCTCTATAGAACAGTCCTGGCCTGTCCCAGACAATTGGTAGTCAGTTCAGGCCATCAAAAAATCTTAATTTTCTAAAAATTCTACAAGACCAATGAGAGACTCATTCGATTACTTATTGATTCCTAATCATCATCGTCCAGCAGTGGACGTCATTTGGCTGAAAAGAAGAAGAAGAAGAATCATCTACCAGACTGGTAATCACCACCTTGCTCCCTCCACTCCTTGCTATCAATTACTGTATTTACAATACAATTAAAAGACAATGTACTAGCTGGTACTAATGACAGTATTTTAGAGCATTCCTACAGTTAACGGGCTATGTCTAAGGCTTGATTGCACCATGTTACTTTAACTTTGACAAACGTCAATCTGTCAAAATCCATACAAAAAGCACCGGTTATCGTCAAAGTTACGAT